CCTCGCCTCCTCCTCCCTCTCGTCCTCCTCCTCCTCCTCCTCGTCTTCCTTCTCCTCCTTCTTCTCCTACTCGTCTCCCTCCTCTTCCTCGTCTCGCGCTCCTCCTGCGCCTCCATGTCCTACTGCTCATCCGTTGGCGGTGCACACTAAGGTTCGAGGTTCGAGGATTGGGGTTGGGGGGATTGAGGTTGGATGATCGATGTGGTTGACTTTGTTATATTTCGCCGCCGCTGCTTGATTCCCCTCGAAATGCTGGCGGGGACGCACCCCAGGACAGGTCTGCGGCAGGAGGAGGAGGAGGAGGAGGAGGAGGAGGAGGAGGAGGAAGATGATGATGATGATGATGATGATGATGATGATGATGATGATGATGATGATGATGAGATGATGATGATGATGATGATGATGATGATGGTGGTGATGATGATGATGATGATGATGATGATGAAGATGATGATGATGATGATGATGATGATGATGATGATGATGATGATGATGATGATGATGATGATGATGACGATGATGATGATGATGACGATGCTGAGGATGATTATGATGATGATGCTGCTGATGATGAGATGATGGTGGTTATTGCGGTTATGCTGGCGATGGTGGTGGCAGTGATGGTAAGGATGCTTATGAGGATGAACATGATGATGAGAATGGGAATGATGACGAGGAGGCTGAGGATTATACTGATGATGTTGATGAGTATGATGCTGCTGATGATGGTGATGCTGATGGTGGTGATGATTATCAGTAGATGTTGCTGAAGGGGTTGCTGTTGCTGTTGCTGATGATGGTGGCGAGTACGATCACGATGCTGATGTCGATGATGATGCTGATGCTGATAATCATGATGGTATGATGATGGTGATGATGATGCTAATAATGATGATGCTGATGGGGATGAGGATGATGCTGATGCTGATGATGATGATGATGATGATGCTGATGGTTGTGCTGATGGATATGCTTGGTACTGGTGATGCTAAAGATGAGGAGGATGTCGATCATGCTGATGACGCTGACGACTGTGATGATGACGGCGATGATGAGGACGATGTTGATGACGAGGACGATGATGATGGGAACCGTATTGCTGATGAAGATGTTGATGCTGATGTCTCTGGTCTTCATGATGCTGAAGATGGCGATGCTGATCATGATGACGACGATGCTGATGATGATGCTGATGCTGATGACGATGATTATGATGAGGTCGATGACGATGACGATGATGATGACGACGATGCTCTCGATACGGATGATGGTGCTGAAGATGCTGACGATTCTGATGATGCCGATGCTGATGCTGATGCGGCTGCTGATTATGGTGACGATGCTGATGTTGATGCTGATGGGGATGATGATGGTGATGAGGATGTTGATGACGATGACAATGATGGTGATGCTGCTGATACTGGTAATGATGCTGGAGACGACGACGACGAGGACAATAATGGTTATGACTCTACTGCCGATGACATTGATGGTGTGGATGTTTTATATGATGATTTATATAAGGCTGATGTTGATCATGGTGATGATGCCGATGATGATGGTTATGATGATGAGTAGGTTGATGAAGTTGATGATGAATGCGGCGCCGATGACGACGGTGATGTCGATGCAGATGCTGATGCGGCTGCTGATGCTGGTGACGATGGTGATGGTGATGCTGATGGTGATGATAATGTTGATGATGCTGAAGACGATGTTCATGATGATGATGATGGTGATGATCATGATGATGCTGTTGATTATGATGATGGTGATGCTGATGATGATGCTGTTGATGATGGGGACGGTGCTGCTGCTGATGATGATTGTGTTTATGATGGTGCTGAGGAGGTTGATGCGGATGATGATGATGCTGATGATGATGATGCCAGTGACGATGACGATGGCCTAGTTGCTGATGTCGATGATGCTGCAGATGATGCTTATGATGCTGTTGAGGTTGATGAGTGTGATGACGATGCTGATGCTGACGGTCATGATTATGATGGGTGATATTGGGGATGATACTTCTTAGGCTGTCGATGACGAGGACGTTTCTGCTGGCGATGGCGATTACGATGCTGATGGTGATGATGATGACGATACTGATTATGATGATGATGTTGCTTATAATGGTGACGCTGAAGCTGCTGCTGATGATGCTGCTGCTGATGATGATCATGGTGATGCTGATTATGATGCTGATGTGGATTAGGATAATGATGTTGGTGCTGTTGATGCTGTTGATGATGGTTGTGATGCTGATGATAATGATGATTATGCTGCAGCTGCCGCTGATGATACTGATGATGATAATGGTGAAGATGATGATGATGATAATGATGATGATGATGATGATGATGATGATGATGAGGATGAGGATGATGATGATGATGATGATGATGATGGTGGCGGTGGTGGTGATGATGATGCTCATGATGATGATGATGATGATGATGATGATGATGATGATGATGATGCTGATGATGCTGATGATGATGATGATGAGGATGAGTATGAGGAGGAGGAGGAGGAGGAGGAGAAGGAGGAGGAGGAGGAGGAGGAGGAGGAGGATGATGATGATGATGATGCTGATGATGCTGATGATGATGATGATGATGATGATGATGATGATGATGCTGCTGCTGCTGCTGCTGCTGCTGATGATGATGATGATGATGAGGAGGAGGAGGAGGAGGAGGAGGAGGAGGAGGAGGATGAGGACGACGACGACGAAGACGACGCGCGTCGCTTCTCTCTTTGGCGCCGGCGGCGGCGCGCCGTCCCGAGAGCGCCCCCCGACAGCACCAGCCCCGCTCCGAGGTGATAGCCACGGACACCGAGGACGTCGTCGAGCTGCTCTCACGGAGGGGCGGGGAGGGGGGAGGGAGTGGCAAGCTACAACCCGCGGTCAAAATCAACCTCAACAGTGCCTCGCGTGGCTGAGCTGTTTGTGAGGAGATTCTGGGCAGTGCAGCGGTGACTGCGAGGTACTCTTGTGGGCGCCGCCCTCAGCCGGGATATTGGAGGGGCCCGTGCCCTGGCCCCGACATTGGAGGGGCGTCTGTCGACATTGAAGGGCGCGCCGACATCGCAGGGGCGTGGTCGCCATTTTTGATGTGCATTTTGACGAGGGTAGTAGGTGCACTCGCGCTATATATGATATCTTACCCCTACCACCCGTACGTTCCCACTGCGCTGATGCTTCTGTATCCGTCGACGGGGGTGATGAGGATCGAGGATCTAGGATCGATGAGGAGGAGGGGGGAGAGGAGGGATGGGGGAAGGTGGGTGAGGAGGAGGGAGGAGAATCGAGGATCGAGTGTAGAGGAGGAGGAGGAGGAGGAGGAGGAGGAGGAGGAGGAGGAGGAGGAGGAGGAGGCGGAGAAGGAGGAGGAGGAGGAGGAGGAGGAGGAGGAGAAGGAGCAGGAGCAGGAGCAGGAGCAGGAGAAGGAGAAGGAGACAGCCACTCCCCCTCGGAGGCTCACACATGCCACCGTGGGGTCCTCTTGGGCCGCTTTTGGAGCTCTCTTGGGCGCTCTTGGGGCCCTCTTGTGACCCTCTTGGGCTCCACTTGGGGATCCCTTGGGCTATTTTTTGGGGCCATCTTTAGGTTTCAAGAGCTTACTGGGGGCGAAAAGTCGAGAAGGCCAAACACATTGATTTTCGTTTGGGTTTTGAAGGATTTGGCTTCTCGGAGGCTCCTTTGGGCGGTTCGAAGGGCCCTCGGAAACGTCTTGGGGCTGTCTTGGGTCCTCCTGGACGTATGTCGGAGACTCCCTTAAGCCACCTTGAAGTATCTCGGGCCATCTTGGAGGCCATCTTTGGCTTCCTGAGGCCCTCTTAGAGCAATCTTGGGCCATCTTGCACGTTCCAATGGGTCGCGCCCCCACAACTTCAGGTCCAGGGGAGGGGATAGGGGGAGGGTCAAGACACCCTCCAGATATCAAGCCGTCTAGCTCACTCCCACCCGCCCTCCCAACACGTAAGTAATACCCGAGCCCCAGCATGTTCAGCGGTCGTCTTCGGATGGGCAGCTACTGGGAACCAAAACCGAGCCCATGCGCGCGACGCTGGGGCGAGGTGCGTCACGCGTTCCAGGCGCGCCACGCGCGCCAAGCACCCCTGGGGCCCGAGCGTGCCAGGCACGCCTGGTGCGCCAGATGCGCCACGTGCCTCCGCGTGCGCCAGGTGCGCCGCATACTCCAGCCGCGCCAGGTGCGCCACGTCCGGGGCACGTGCAGAGTGTGTCAGCTGCGCCTGCGCACGTGACAGCACACATCGGGAAACATGTCGGCCCCCACCATCCTTGTCGATAACCTGTGCCCATCATTATGTCTGGTGGGCCTGCGCGCAGCAGGCCATACGCCACCACCCCCGCCGTCCCTGTCAAAAACCATTTGGCAATGATCGCGGGGTGTCCGCGCATGATCCAGATCTAGCCGCGAGGTGCATTTTGTATTTTGTGTTTTGTGCTTTGTCAGGGGTGGTAGCCTTGCCCGCAGCAGGTCATATGCTGACACCCCCGCCGTCCTTACCAACAGACACTGCAACGTGCTCGCGGGCCTCGCGAACATGACTCCAGACTTTGCCCCAAAGGGGAGGTGGAGGTGGAGCTTGCCCGCATCGGGTTGGTTGCGCATGCTCCGAATTTGGCGGCAGAGTGTGTGTGTGTGTGTGTCTGTATTGTTTGTTGCCAGGGATGGTGGGGGGGGGGAGAGCGTGGCTCCTGGTCGGCTGCTGGTCGCCCGAGGGAGGGGGGGGTATACTACTAGTGAACAGTGGCAACCCCCTCCCTCCCCCGACAGTATGTCGTCGGAGGGGAAACACAAAACTCGTCAGACCAGCTGCGCCCAGAGGGCCGGTGGGATTCACGAGGCCGCGAGGCTTCCGGAGCGCGCACCTCCGGCTGGCTGCGAGGGCGCGTGGCCTCGAGCGCGGGGCCGAGCTCTCAGGACGGCGGGCGGGCCGAAAAGTCTCACCCCCCCGAGGAGGAGGAGGAGGAGGAGGAGGAGGAGGAGGAGGAGGAGGAGGAGGAGGAGGAGGAGGGGAGGAGGAGGAGGAGGAGGAGGAGGAGGAGGAGGAGGAGGAGAGGAGGAGGAGGAGGAGGAGGAGGAGGAGGAGGAGGAGGAGGAGGAGGAGGAGGAGGAGGAGGGGAGGAGGAGGAGGAGGAGGAGGAGGAGGAGGAGGGAGGAGGAGGAGGAGAGGGAGGAGGGAGGGGAGGAGGAGGAGGAGGAGGAGGAGGAGGAGGAGGAGGAGGAGGAGGAGGAGGAGGAGGAGGAGGAGGGAGGAGGAGGAGGAGGAGGGAGGAGGAGGGAGGAGGAGGGAGGAGGAGGGAGGAGGAGGAGGAGGAGGAGGAGGAGGAGGAGGAGGACGAGGAGGAGGAGGAGGAGGAGGACACAGATCGCAGTACAGGAAATGCTAGCTTTTCTGCTGTGGACAGGGGGTGGCGCTCTTGGGCGGCCTCCGTGGGGTGGGTCCGTGGCCTCTGGTCTTGGCATCGCCTGGACGTGTGCATTGGACCATCGAAGAGCATCCTGGATCATCGAGCAAGAGAACACGCGCAAAACCGAAAATCGCACAGGGAATGGACGTCCGAGCGAGGGCAAGCGGTGTGCGAACTTGGAGTCATGTGCAAGTAACTGGCTCGAGGAGCGGGCATCTAGCGCAGTTTGCTAGGGATGGTGGCTTGGGGAGCGCGCATCTGGCCCAGGTTACTAGCTGGAGAGCGCGAGTCTGCTGTACTAGGGGGCCACTTGCGAGCCCTACCCCTACCCCCCCCAACGATTTCTGAAGGGGGAGGGTAGGGTTCACTTCGTTCGGGAGCTCCCGAGCGGAGTGAACCCCACCCTCCCCCTCAGAACTCGTGGGGGGTAGGGCTAGGGTTCGCGTGTGGCCCCCTGTGAATTCTGCGTGTTTCGTGGCCCCCCGATGCACTCGGATCGCGTGGTTCTACAGGAGGGCAGCGGGCCGGGTCTCGGGTCTCGGGCCCTCCCCGCCCCTCGCGCGGTCTTCGGTCAGCACAGCAGTGGAGCGCGAACACAACTCACACGTACACGCCGGTCGCTGAAGGTAGGTGTTTTTGGATTCCCAGATCCCATATCTACTTCAAGCGCCTTCCTACTTCAAGAAGCGACACGCTTTTGCTGCGTGTTGTTATTCCCTGGGGGGGCCTGGACCCGATCAGCTTAATCCGCCTCCCTGCTTCATGTCTTTACCTACCTCTTCCGACCGACGTGTAACTATAACTTGGGAGCTCGGACTGGTGCAGGGAGCTAGACAGCACAGTCCTCGCAGCCCGTTGGCGCCAGAGGGGCCGGTGGGTGTAAGATGAGTGGTCGTGCGCAACATGGACGAGTGTCGGCCAGCGTGGATCCCAAGCGCTGAGTTCTTGCACTGCCGAGATGGAGTGTACGCGGCACGAGCCGTGCGGCGTGAGCTATGTGGTGTAAGCTATGTGGTGTAAGCCGTGCAGTGGACTCCGTGTCGAGGAAGCCATGCGATGCAAGCTATGTGGTGTGGTACACGCGGTGCAGGTTTGGCGGTGCAAGACGTGCGGTGTGAGCTACGTTGTGTACACCGCGCTGCCTGAACTGTTCACCACCCACCAAACCACCCCAACCCAGCCCGAAGGCCTCGATCTGCCCCCCCCACTTCCAGCGAGGGGGGGCCTGGGCACAGCGAGACGACACATGTGGAGCCCATACCCCCCCCCCCCCCCCCAACCCGACATTCGGGTCTTCGGGTTGGGCTGGTGTGGTCTGGTAGGCCGTCAACTATTCAGGAGGGGAAAAAACACAGACACAATTAATCGGCGATTCCCAGAAGATACGGGGGAACATGGGAAGTGGGGGGGAAGACAAAACCCAGAACATATGCGAAAATATGGGGGATCTTTTTATTTATCTTGATTTGTGTATGTATTTGTGTGGATTTATCTGTGGTGCGAGCTGCGTGGCGTGAGCGGTGCGGGCCGCTGGGCACCCTCTTCGAGGCGCGCGCGGGGCGCCCGCGAGCGGGCACCGGGCGCGACCGGGGCGGGCCTGCGGGAAGCCCACCCGGGGCGGCGGGGCGCCGGCGCGGCGCCCCCTGCAGGGCTCGTTTCGACTCCTCCGATTCGATTCGATTCGACTTCGATGGACTCCGATTCCGCTTCGATTCGACTTTCGGACTCCGATTTTTGGGCTCCGATGTCCCGTTGGGCGCATACTGGCCTGCCGATTTCCGCCGATTCGACTTTTCACGACCCGGCTGCCGATTTCCGCCGATCCGATTCGCTTCTGCCCGCCGGCGTGGGCCCTATGAGGTCACCCTCGACGCGCAGCCAACCCGGACCCCCGACGTCACGATTTGTTCATGACGTCGATCCCCCGAGGTCTCGACCCACCCCCCTGGACACGCTCTCAAAGGCCCGACGACGGCCCCCAGAGGCCGAACATAGCGAAGCACCTCCCGTCGTGATTTCGTTCATGACCCGTGCCCGAGGGGGTCTGGGGATGTCGATCGCCGATCCGACTTGTCGATTCGATTCTGGGCTCTCCTGCCCCTGAGCGGGCACGGGCGCCCAGGGGCGGGCGCGGGCGGGCACCCCGCCCACTCGCTCGGCCAGCGAGGCGGGAACCCCTGAGCTTGTGGAGGACGAGCCACGCAGAGGGAGCGTGTTGCCAAATAAGTTACGGTAGGTTTGTGTCGTGTCGACCGGCGGCGACCCCAGCGCGGACGTTCAAGGTTGAACGCCGCCGGCGACCCAGAATCGATCGATGTTGAACGATCGGACGTTGCGGCAGCGGCCGATCTTTCAAGGTTGAACGGTCCCTGCGGTGTCAAAAACCAACGCTGGGGTCGGCACGACACGAACCTGCCGTAAGCTTGTGGAGGACGAGCCATGGCGAGGAAGCGTGTTGCCAACTAAGTTCACTTCCCGATGCCTCAAGCATGTTCCCCACAGGTTTGAGAAGCATGTAAGAGACATGCTGGCAGCATGTTCAGAACATTTCCCAAACACTTTAAACACACGTTCAGTTCAATGATAGGGTTGTTAGGGTGTCCATTGTCCTGGCATCCACAACCCTAAGCGCAAACATTGTTCTTGGGGGAAAGAAGCAGACCCCGCGGGCAGGGGGACGACTCCCAGCCTCGGGGTGGGGGTCGAGTTGCGTGGTTTCTTGTAGGATGCGGGACTCACCGGCCTGCACCGCGCGTGTCCAGCCCAGGTGCGTGTCGTCGACTCCCAGTGCCCGAGCAGACCTTCCACCCACGCGTCCACTACTTGTGGGCGACATTCCACCGGCTTAACGACGCGAGGGCCCCTCTCATGCAGATCCATGAAGCCGCAATGCGCGGAGGGGGGCGGATCGGTTTGGCCTCGGCAGAGGGGTGGCTTCTCATGCCTTCTTGTAAAACGGAGCTCGTGTGGTGCAAGCTAGTCTTTGCATACAGTGGAGCGCAGTACACGTCGTGCAACTTGACGGGTGCCACCTCTGATGTACGCGCTGTGTGCTCCAAGCTGTGGAGGACCGTCCGCGGCGTCAGTGCAGTACATGTGTAGTGCAGGCAGTGTCGTGCAACCAACGTGAGGCGGCGGCGAGGAAGCGACGGGCGCCCATCGGCCGAAACGCCAGGGAAATCGACCCGCGCACGAGTTGGCGACGAGGCGGCGACGGGCGGGCACCAGGCGAACACCCGGGGAACCCAGCCAGCGGACGTGTCTGCGCTCTACACTGCACCGTCCTCGCGGTTCTCGCGGCGCTCTCAATGTAGGGGAGTCTCGAGGCATCGGCCGGCGCACCCCCTCCCCCTCGGGGATGGCAGGTGCCAGGGCGCCAGGCAACGGCTTGAGACGGGGGTCAATGCAAACGGGGGTCCGTCAGAGCGCCGGGCCTTGCAGGATCCTGCAGGGCCAGGGCTGCACTGACCCGGGTTTGGGCGCAGGATCCTGCAGGATCCCGAAGGGTTCCCCTAGGGGATCGACTACAGAATTGGTTTGCCCCAGCAACTGATTGCAGCGCCGAATCCAGGACACATAATTACGTAAAATATGCTCCGTAGATCTACGGAGCATTCCACGTGTGTGTCGTAGATTCGACGGGCACATCAATTTTGGGGTCAACCGGTTCTGCAGTCGATCCCCTGCTCGAAGGATCCTGCGAGGCTCGACCGAGGGTCTGGACATGACCCGGGTCGGTAGGTCCCCGAGACGTGGCGGAGACGAGGCGGCGACGGGCGGCCGCCCGGCGAAAGCCCAGAAGCGCCGCCAGCGGGCGCCAGCGCGCAAGGCGTCGGCGAGGCTGCGGCGTGCGGCCACCAGGGGGCACCAGCCAATCATGGCTGGCGCGTCGCGTACAGTGGACAACATCATGCCAGGAATCACCCTGCTAGCCTCCAGGGTGCCCTGGGTTTCGCGGGCTTCGATAGTTCTGCGATGGACAGCGTGACGTTCCCACACCAAAATTCGATGGGCGTCCTGGGGTCTCAGGCTTGGATTTCTTGCGGAGGGTTTCTTGTGGTCGAGCTCCTACTGCATCCTGTATCCTCACCAGCCCATCCAGAAACGATGTCCAGGCGAACTCCCCAGGGGGGTAGCCGTCAGATCGAAGCGCAGGATCAGCTGGAGCAGACGTAGGAGTTAGCCAGAACTGCACTCGCGGATCGTTCGACAGGGGGGCCTCTCGGAAGCTTATCTGGGAGCCCTCTTGGGGTTACTCTTGGTGTCCTCTTGGGGCTACTTTGGAGGCCTTTAGGGTTCTCTTGGGGTCCTATTAGGGCTCCCTCGGGGCCCTCTTGATACCCTCTTGGGGGCCTTTGAGGCTTTCTTGGGGCCGTCTTGGAAGAGATCGATCAAAGATGGGGGGTTCTGAATTACTCCCCTCCTTCGGGGCCCGAAGCTTTGCCTTTTCGGGCCCTCTTGGAGGCTCTTGGGGCGCTCTTGGGGGCCTTGGGGGCCGTCTTGGAGCTCCTGTGGGTTGGGTTTTTTTGGGGGGGCGATCTTAGAGCCATCTCGATGTCTCCGAGGCCCGTCGGAAGCGAAATGGCGAGAAGGCCACACACGTTGGGCACCCTTTGGTTTTTGAACGAGTTTGGCCTTTACGAACACATATCCCTGGGAGGCTCTGGGTCCACTTGCAGCCGTCTTGGAGCCGCCTTGGGGGTTCTTGGAGCCAGGTTGGACACCAACTTGTGCCATCTTTGAAGCCATCTTGACTATCTCAGACCACCTTGGAGCCATCTTGGGCGATCTTGGACGCTCTAACGCCTCGCGGCCCTCTCCGTCCAAAGCCAGGGGAGTTTTTCCTGTCACGCGGCAGTTTTTCTCTAATAGGTTGGGCGGACCCCTCCAGTCCACGCGCGGCGACAGCACAGGCTCGGGATGAACCTAAGACGCCCCCACGAGGCCTCCAAGATGGCCCAAGGCAACCACCATAATTAGCCCATTTTGGCACAAGGCATTCTGGCCATTCTTTGTTGCAGACAGGGATGATTCACGCCGGCAGCGGCTTCGGTAGCGGCGGCGTGGGCATGGGTTACGGCGGCGCGTACGGCGGCGACAGTTGCTGCGGCGGTGGCGCGGGTTACGGTGGTGCGTACGGCGGCGACGCGGGATGCTGCGGCGGCTCGGCGGGCTACGGGTACGGCGGCGCCTCTGGCTTCGGTCTCGCGGGCGGCATGCCGCCACAAACTCAGACCTACATGGGGCCTGGTGGAGATTACGTGCAGGAGACGACGTACAAGTACATTGGCATGGGGGCGGGTGGCCCGCAAGCAGTCTCGGAGACGGTCATCTCGAGTATATTGCCCCTTCCTCGCCGTGGCCCCCACTGCCTGTGCCTGTGCCTGATCCCCTTGCTACTGTCGCTTCTGTTACTCCCGCTGCTGGGCTGGTTCCTAATGGGCTCAACCAGCACTACGACGACCACCACGATTCTCATCACAACTCCACCACCACCGCTGTTGGCAGCGCCGCCGACGCCTCCGCCTGATGCTCCGACCACGACCAAGAAAACCACCACCGCGGCTCCGCCGCCGCCCCCGCCACCGCCGCCTCCGCCTCCGCCGCCCCCACCGCCACCGCCGCCCCCGCCGCCGGAGCCGGTGACGACCACGGAGAAGAAGGTGGACTGCGCGGAAGGTGATCCGCCGTCTTGGGAAGTATCCAAGAAGGTCACGTGCTGCTTGCAGGCTGGCAGGGGGTGCCCTACGACGCCTCCGCCGCCGCCCCCGCCCCCGCCGCCGCCGCCGCCCCCTCCGCCAGCCCCAGTGGCGCCGCCCCCGCCGCCCCCGCCGCCACCCGCGCCTGTGGCGCCGCCTCCGCCACCGCCAGCTCCTGTGGCCCCGCCTCCGCCAGCCACGACGTCTGAGCCGTACGATTGCGCGGCCGGGTATTCGAATTGGGAAGCGGGGTGGTCCACGGACAAGAAAGGCTGGTGCTGTTCCAATAAGCACATGGGCTGCGTCGAGACGACGCCGCCGCCGGCCCCGCCTTCCGAACCGTATGACTGCAACGCTGGGTATTCGAATTGGGAGGCCGGCTGGTCGCCGGACAAGAAGGAGTGGTGTTGCTCAGAGAAGAAGATGGGTTGCGTCGAGGCCGCATCTAAGCCTTATGACTGTGACGCAGGTTATTCCAACTGGGAGGCTGGCTGGAGCGAGGATAAGAAAAGCTGGTGCTGCACCAACGAGCAGAAAGGCTGCCCGAAGTGAGTTTGAAGAGGTAGCAGGTTCTCCATGCAGTGCCGTGCTCGGACCATGCGCAGCCCAAGTGTAGGATATGGGGAGTCTATTCGGGCATGGTAAGGTCTTCTGGCGGCCAGCACGCTGCGCAACCACCTTCCTCATGTGCTCGGGATCTGAGCAGAGACTCTTGCTCGAGGCATGGTTATCCCACTGCTCCTCTCGACAGGCAAAGGTACTGCGGGATGTGAGCATGAGAATTATTTTGCCCCATCTGATCCGCATCGACACTTACCTCCGAGACGTGATGGTAATCGCGGGTGCGTGGCCCAAGGCAATGGGACAGGTCGAGACGAGACAGCACGAGACAAGACTTGACAAGACAAGCCAATGCAGCTTCCCAGTCGGCCCCAGGCGGCTCCAGGACACCCTGAGACGCCCCCAGCCCCCGAGAGGCCCACATCGGTCAATCACCTCCAGAGAACCAACGATAGTTGCCTTCACGATGTTTCGTTCCCAATGGGCTCTTGATGCCTCAAGAGGGCTCCGAGATTGCACAAGAAAAAAGACAGCTCCGAGACGGGCCCGAGGCGACCAGGCACCCAAGAGGGGCCCGAGGAGTTTCCCAAGAGGGCCCCCAAACGTTCCCAATTCTGTCCAAATGCTGAATGGGGCCAACCAGGGCAAGCGTCACTGGTGCCCAACAAGCCCCAGAAACGGCCGCTCTGGGTCCCACGGGGCTGGCAACATACCCCCCAGAAGAATTCTCTAACAAGCCTTCCAGAGGTCGAGGGTTGGGGAGAGGAGATGGCCCAAGACAACCATGCAAGACGAGGCACGACATGACCAGACAAGACCTGACACTTTAAGCCAACATAGCCTCCATGGCTCCAAGGCGCCCCCAAGACGCCCCGAGCCCCCAAGAGGCTCAAGTCATTCAAACATGGTGAGCAAATCAGCGATGTTCGCCTTCACGCCTTCTCGCTTCCAATGGGCGCTTGAGGCCTCAGGATGGCCCCAAGATCGCCCAAAGAAGTCCGCAGACGGGTCCGAGACGGCCAAGCCTCCAAGGGGGCCCGAAGGGACTCCCAGGAGGGCCCCAAGACGCCACCAAGTCAGTTAAAATCTATAGAAGAAGATCAGCAAGGGCAAGCGCCACAGGCGCTTCCCCAGAGGCTTTTAACATACTCCCAAGAGATATACCAGAAGCCTTCCAGAGGTTTCAAGAAGCCCCCTGAGGCGCCTTGGAGAGGCCCCCAGGAGGGCTCCAGGAGGCTTCGCTAGGCGGGGGGGGTGAGTCGTCTGGCGCAGAGGGGAAGATGGGGGATTGGAATCGGGGCCCTGGACACCAGGCCTTTGCAAACCAGGATTTTGCCAGAGCCAGCGGGAGGAGACAAAGGACGAGAAATGCCTCGACCCATGGCTGTGCTTTCTTGGGCGTGCCAGAGCTTCGGTTCATCAGAGTTTTTTACGGGACTCTGATGGAAGAGAAAGCCTGCTAGATCATTGAATCGCTTCGCTCGTTCCGCCGGCCCGTATTGTGCCATCGCGGGGTCTTGGGGGGTCTTGGGAGCCCTTGGACGCTTCGTGGGAGCTTCTTGGGAACTTTGGGAGGCCTCGTGGATGGCTCTGGGTGGGCCCTCTTGGTGGTCTCTTGGGGGGGTCTGCCTGGCCTCTTGGGGGCCTCCTGGGAGCTTCCTGGGGGTCTCTTGGGGGCCTCTTGGGGCTTTCTTGCGGCCTGTTGGGGGCCTCTTGGGGCTCTCTTGGGGGCTTCGTGGGGCTACTTGGGGGCTTGTAGGGGCATTTCGGGGGCGTGTTTGGGCGGGAGGCTCAAAATTTCCGTTCAGGTTGCCCCTGTGGACCTCAATCATGGGGCCGTCTTGGGGCCTCTTGGACCGTCTTGAGGGTTTCTTGGGCCTTCTTGGAGCGCTCTTGGGGCGTCTTTGAGCGGTCTTGAGGGTGTCTCGGGCCGTCTTGGGGTGATCTTGGGGGCCTCTTGGACCGCCTTGAAAGGTGTGAAAGACGAAGAGGCGGATATGTTAAAAATGCTCGCTTTCCTAAGGGAATGAGACGATTTTTGCTTGTGGGAGCCCTCTTGGGACGCCGCTTAGGGACCTCTTGGGGCGTCTTGAAGGCCTGTTGGGCCGTCTTGAGGCCATCGCAGGCGTTTGGGAGTGATATTTCGGCGTCTCCCGGCTCTCTTGGACCGTCTGGAGGGCTTCTCGGGCCCCTTTTGGACCGATTTGGAGCCCTACTGGGCTTCGAAAAAGAGTTCTTGAGGGTTTCTTGGGCCTTCTTGGAGCGCTCTTGGGCCGTCTTTGAGCGGTCTAGAGGGTCTCTCCGGCCGTCGTGGGGTGATCTTGGGGACCTCTTGGACCGCCTTGAAAGGTGTGAAAGACGAAGAGGCGGATATGTTAAACATGCACGTTTTCCTGAGGGAATGGGACGATTTTTGCTTGTGGGAGTCCTCTTGGGACGCCGCTTCGGGACCTCTTAGGGACCTCTTGGGGCGTCTTGAAGGCCTGTTGGGCCGTCTTGAGGCCATCGTAGGCGTTTGGGAGTGAGATTTCGGCGTCTCCCGGCTCTCTTGGACCGTCTGGAGGGCTTCTCGGGCCCTCTTGGACCGATTTGGAGCCCTCCTGGGCTCCGAAAAAGAGTTCTTGAGGGTTTCCTGGGCCTTCTTGGAGCGCTCTTGGGCCGTCTTTGAGCGGTCTTGAGGGTCTCTCGGGCCGTCTTGGGGTGATCTTGGGGGCCTCTTGGACCGCCTTGAAAGGTGTGAAAGACGAAGAGGCGGATATGTTAAAATGCACGTTTTCCTAAGGGAATGGGACGATTTTTGCTTGTGGGAGCCCTCTTGGGGCGCCGCTTAGGGACCTCTTGGGGCGTCTTGAAGGCCTGTTGGGCCGTCTTGAGGCCATCGCAGGCGTTTGGGAGTGATATTTCGGCGTCTCCCGGCTCTCTTGGACCGTCTGGAGGGCTTCTCGGGCCTCTCTTGGACTGTTTGGAACCCTCCTGGGCTCCGAAAAGGGGCCTTGCCGGGAGTCTGCCGGGACCTTGCCGGGAGTCTGCCGGGACCTTGCCGGGACCTTGCCGGGGTACTTCTCGTCCGGGGACCCCCAGGGCCCGCCACGCGCGCGCGCGAATTAGAAATATTGTTGCGCAGTTACCGGAGATCTTAGCACGCCTCTGGCCCGTTGGGCCGGCGAATTTAGGCCCGCAGGGCTGGTGGGATTCGGAGCCACGCGGCGTTCAAGGAGTGGCGGCTCGAGGCCGTCTGGGCGTTCGGTGGGGTTTCGGCGTCCAGCGCCTCAGAGCGCCTGGGAAGTGTGTTGATTTCAGCGTCGGAGGCAGGGGCGGGCAAGCGACGGGCGCCGGCCAGCCGAAGCCCCTGCAAACCCAGCGCGCGAGGTGGCGACGAGGCGGCGACGGGCGGGCACCAAGCTCAGAAGCGCCAGCCAGCGAACGAGGTGGTGACGAGGCTGAGACGGGCGGCCCGCAGGGCTGCTGGGGTCTTTTTGTTGCCCCTCTCCCCTCTTGGGGCCGCTCTGGAAGGAGGTCGATGAAAGATGGGGGGGGTCCCAGATGACCCCCCCTTTCGGAGCCCGGAGCATAGCCCTGTGGGGCCCTCTTGGGAGGCTCTTGGGGCGCTCTTGGGGGCCTTCGGGGCCGTCTTGGAGCACCTGTGGGTCCCTCTTGGGGCTCTTTTGGACGATCGCAGAGCCATCTTGATGCCTCCGAGGCCCCTGGGAAGCGAAATGGCGCATGCTGGACGCCGTGATTGACGCCATCCTGGGCTGCCTGAGGCCATCTGGGAGCCATCCGGGGCAATCTTGGACGCTCTGACGCCTCGCGGCCCTCTCCGTCCAGACCCAGGGGAGCTCTTCCTGAACGAGGCGGGCGCGCCCCATCCAGTCCCCTCGCGGCGACAGCGCGGGCGTGGCATGAACCCAGGACGCCTCCACGGGGCCTCCCAAGATGGCCCATGGCGACCACCATGGCCCACCTTGTCGGCACGAGGCCTTCCGGCCGACAGCTTGTCGCAGGGAGGGATGCTTTCACAGGCGCGAGCGCGGCGAAGCCTTGGCGCACCCATGCAGAGAGCACGGGGCGCCCACGAGCACGGGGCTTTCGCATGCGCGAGCGCGGCGAGTGCGCGGGACGCCCCGCCCACTGACCCGGCAAGCGAAGTGAGAACTCCTAAGTGCAAGCCGTAAGTCGGGCCTGTCCCTCTACAGGAGGGATATTCAAGGGTAGTCAAAAACATGATATGGGGACGATTCGTCGATTCTGTTTCTGTATCTTTGAAGCATTTTTGGACTATCTCTAATTTTCCCTTCAAGATTCCCCTGCAGGAAGACACGCCCGACCTGATGCAAACCTTGATCTTGGGGGAAAGAAGCAGACCCCGCGGGGAGGGGGACGACTCCCAGCCTCGTGGTGGAGGTCGAGTTGCGTGGTTTCTTGTGGGACGCGGCACTCACCGGCCCGCACCGCGCGTGGCCGGCCCAGTGCGCGTCGTCGATCTCATGCAGATCCATCAAGCCGCAATGCGCGGAGGGGGGCGGATCGGTTTGGCCTCGGCAGGGGGGTGGCTTCTCATGCCTTCTTGTAAAAAGGAGCTCGTGTGGTGCAAGCTAGTCTTTGTATGCTGTGGAGCGCAGTATACGTCGTGCAACTTGACGGGTGCCACCTCTGATGTACACGCTGTGTGCTGCAAGCTGTGGAGGACCGTCCACGGCGTCAGTGCAGTACATGTGTAGTGCAGGCAGTGTCGTGCAACCAATGGCGAGGCGGAGGCGAGGAAGCGACGGGCGGGCACCTTGCGAACACCCGGGGAACCCAGCCAGCGGACGTGTCTGCGCTCCAGAGACGGGGGTCAATGCAAATGGGGGTCCGTCAGAGCGCCGGGCCTTGCAGGATCCTGCAGGGCCAGGGCTGCACTGACCCGGGCTTGGGCGCAGGATCCTGCAGGGTCCTGAAGGGTTACCGTAGGGGATCGACTACAGAATTGGTTTGCCCCAACACTTGATTGCAGCGCCGAACCCAGGACACAGAATTACGTAGAATATGCTCCGTAGATCTACGGAGCACTCCACGTGTGTGTCGTAGAGTCGACGGGCACATCAAGTTTGGGGCCAACCGGTTCTGCAGTCGATCCCCTGCTCGAAGGATCCTGCGAGGCCCGACCGAGGGTCTGGACATGACCCGGGTCGGCGACGGGCGGCCGCCCGGCGAAGGCCCGGAAGCGCCAGCCAGCGGGCGCCAGCGCGCGAGGCGTCGGCGAGGCTGCGGCGTGCGGCCACCAGGGGGCACCAGCCAATCATGGCTGGCGCGTCGCGTACAGTGGGCAAAATCATGCCAGGAATCACCCTGCTTGCCTCCAGGGTGCCCTGGGTTTCGCGGGCTTCGATGGTTCTGCGATGGAAAGCGTGACGTTCCCACACCAACATTCGATGGGCGTCCTGGGGTCTCAGGCTTGGATTTCTTGTGGAATGTTTCTTGTGGTCGAGCTCCTACCGCATGTATCCTCACCAGCCCATCCAGAAACGATGTCCAGGCGAATTTCCCAGGGGGGTAGCCGTCAGATCGAAGCGCAGGATCAGCTGGAGCAGACGTAGGAGTTAGCCAGAGCTGCACTCGCGGATCGTTCGACAGGGGAGCCTCTCCGAAGCCTATCTGGGAGCCCTCTTGGGGTTACTCTTGGTGTCCTCTTGGGGCTACTTTGGAGGCCTTTAGGGTTCTCTTGGGGTCCTATTAGGGCTCCCTCGGGGCCCTCTTGATACCCTCTTGGGGGTCTTTGGGGCTTTCTTGGAGCCGTCTTGGAAGAGATCGATCAAAGATGGGGGGTTCTGAATTACTCCCCTCCTTCGGGGCCCGAAGCTTTGCCTTTTCGGGCCCTCTTGGGAGGCTCTTGGGGCGCTCTTGGGGGCCTTTGGGGCCGTCTTGGAGCTCCTGTGGGTTGGTTTTTTTTTGGGGGGCGATCTTAGAGCCATCTCGATGTCTCAGAGGCCCGTCGGAAGCGAAATGGCGAGAAGGCCACACACGTTGGGCATCCTTTGGTTTTTGAATGAGTTTGGCCTTTACGAACACATATCCTTGGGAGGCTCTGCAGGGCCACTTGGAGCCGTCTTGGAGCCGTCTTGGGGGTTCTTGGAGCCAGGTTGGACACCAACTTGTGCCATCTTTGAAGCCATCTTTACTATGTGAGACCACCTTGGAGCCATCTTGGGCGATCTTGGACGCTCTAATGCCTCGCGGCCCTCTCCGTCCAAAGCCAGGGAAATTATTCCTGTCACGCGGCAGTTTTTCTCTAATAGGTTGGGCGGACCCCTCCAGTCCACGCGCGGCGACAGCACAGGCTCGGGATGAACCTAAGACGCCCCCACGAGGCCTCCAAGATGGCCCAAGGCAACCACCATAATTAGCCCATTTTGGCACAAGGCATTCTGGCCATTCTTTGTTGCAGACAGGGATGATTCACGCCGGCAGCGGCTTCGGTAGCGGCGGCGTGGGCATGGGTTACGGCGGCGCGTACGGCGGCGACAGTTGCTGCGGCGGTGGCGCGGGTTACGGTGGTGCGTACGGCGGCGACGCGGGATGCTGCGGCGGCTCGGCGGGCTACGGGTACGGCGGCGCCTCTGGCTTCGGTCTCGCGGGCGGCATGCCGCCACAAACTCAGACCTACATGGGGCCTGGTGGAGATTACGTGCAGGAGACGACGTACAAGTACATTGGCATGGGGGCGGGCGGCCCGCAAGCAGTCTCGGAGACGGTCATCTCGAGTATATTGCCCCTGCCTCGCCGTGGCCCCCACTGCTTGTGCCTTTGCCTGATCCCCTTGCTACTGTCGCTTCTGTTACTCCCGCTGCTGGGCTGGTTCCTAATGGGCTCAACCAGCACTACGACGACCACCACGATTCTCATCACAACTCCACCACCACCGCTGTTGGCAGCGCCGCCGACGCCTCCGCCTGATGCTCCGACCACGACCAAGAAAACCACCACCGCGGCTCCGCCGCCGCCCCCGCCACCGCCGCCTCCGCCTCCGCCGCCCCCACCGCCACCGCCGCCCCCGCCGCCGGAGCCGGTGACGACCACGGAGAAGAAGGTGGACTGCGCGGAAGGTGATCCGCCGTCTTGGGACGTATCCAAGAAGGTCACGTGCTGCTTGCAGGCTGGCAGGGGGTGCCCTACGACGCCTCCGCCGCCGCCCCCGCCGCCGCCGCCGCCGCCGCCGCCCCCTCCGCCAGCCCCAGTGGCGCCGCCCCCGCCGCCCCCGCCGCCACCCGCGCCTGTGGCGCCGCCTCCGCCACCGCCAGCTCCTGTGGCCCCGCCTCCGCCAGCCACGACGTCTGAGCCGTACGATTGCGCGGCCGGGTATTCGAATTGGGAAGCGGGGTGGTCCACGGACAAGAAAGGCTGGTGCTGTTCCAATAAGCACATGGGCTGCGTCGAGACGACGCCGCCGCCGGCCCCGCCTTCCGAACCGTATGACTGCAACGCTGGGTATTCGAATTGGGAGGCCGGCTGGTCGCCGGACAAGAAGGAGTGGTGTTGCTCAGAGAAGAAGATGGGTTGCGTCGAGGCCGCATCTAAGCCTTATGACTGTGACGCAGGTTATTCCAACTGGGAGGCTGGCTGGAGCGAGGATAAGAAAAGCTGGTGCTGCACCAACGAGCAGAAAGGCTGCCCGAAGTGAGTTTGAAGAGGTAGCAGGTTCTCCATGCAGTGCCGTGCTCGGACCATGCGCAGCCCAAGTGTAGGATATGGGGAGTCTATTCGGGCGTGGTAAGGTCTTCTGGCGGCCAGCACGCTGCGCAACCACCTTCCTCATGTGCTCGGGATTTGAGCAGAGACTCTTGCTCGAGGCATGGTTATCCCACTGCTCCTCTCGACAGGCAAAGGTACTGCGGGATGTGAGCATGAGAATTATTTTACCCCATCTGATCCGCATCGACACTTACCTCCGAGACGTGATGGTAATCGCGGGTGCGTGGCCCAAGGCAATGGGACAGGTCGAGACGAGACAGCACGAGACAAGACTTGACAAGACAAGCCAATGCAGCTTCCCAGTCGGCCCCAGGCGGCTCCAGGACACCCTGAGACGCCCCCAGCCCCCGAGAGGCCCACATCGGTCAATCACCTCCAGAGAACCAACGATATTTGCCTTCACGATGTTCCGTTCCCAATGGGCTCTTGAGGCCTCAAGAGGGCCCCAAGATTGCACAAGAAAAAGACAGCTCCGCGACGGGCCCGAGGCGACCATGCACCCAAGAGGGGCCCGAAGAGTTTCCCAAGAGGGCCCCAAAACTTTTCAATTCTGTCCAAATGCTGAAGGGGCCAACAAGGGCAAGCGTCACTGGTGCCCAACAAGCCCCAGAACGGCCGCTCTGGGTCCCACGGGGCTCGCAACATACCCCCCAGAAGAACTCGCTAACAAGCCTTCCAGAGGTCGAGGGTTGGGGAGAGGAGGTGGCCCAAGACAACCATGCAAGACGAGGCACGACATGACCAGACACGACCTGACACGTCAAGCCAACACAGCCCCCATGGCTCCAGGGCGCCCCCAAGACGCCCCGAGTCCCCAAGAGGCTCAAGTCATTCAAACATGGTGAGCAAATCAGCGATGCTCGCCTTCACGCCTTTTCGCTTCCAATGGGCGCTTGAGGCCTCAGGATGGCCCCAAGATCGCCCAGGGAAGTCCGCAGACGGGTCCGAGACGGCCAAGCCTCCAAGGGGGCCCGAAGGGACTCCCAGGAGGGCCCCAAGACGCCACCAAGTCAGTTCAACTCTTTAGAAGAAGACCAGGAAGGGTAAGCGCCACTGGCGCTTCCCCAGAGGCTTTCAACATACTCCCAAGAGATCTACCAGAAGCCTTCCAGAGGTTTCAAGAAGCCCCCTGAGGCGCCTTGGAGAGGCCCCCAGGAGGGCACCGGAGGCTTCGCTAGGCGGGGGGGGGAGTCGTCTGGCGCAGAGGGGAAGATGGGGAATTGGAATCGGGGCCCTGGACACCAGGCCTTTGCAAACCAGGACTTTGCCAGAGCCAGCGGGAGGAGACAAAAGACGAGGAATGCCTCGACCAATGGCTGTGCTTTTCTTGGGCGTGCCAGAGCTTCGGTTCATCAGAGTTTTTTTGGGGGGGAGGCCTGATGGAAGAGGAAGCCTATTAGATTACTTAGGCCCGCAGGGCTGGTGGGATTCGGAGCCACGCGGCGTTCAAGGAGTGGCGGCTCGAGGCCGTCTGGGCGCTCGGTGGGGGTTCGGCGTCCAGCGCCTCAGAGCGCCTGGGAAGTATGTTGATTTCAGCGTTCGAGGCAGGGGCGGGCAAGCGACGGGCGCCCGCCAGCCGAAGCCCCTGCAAACCCAGCGCGCGAGGTGGCGACGAGGCGGCGACGGGCGGGCACCAAGCTCAGAAGCGCCAGCCAGCGAACGAGGTGGTGACGAGGCCGAGACGGGCGGCCCGCAGGGCTGCTGTGGTCTTTTTGTTGCCCCTCTTGGGGCCGCTCTGGAAGGAGGTCGATGAAAGATGGGGGGGTCCCAGATGACCCCCTCTTTCGGAGCCCGGAGCATAGCCCTGTGGGGCCCTCTTGGGAGGCTCTTGGGGCGCTCTTGGGGGCCTTCGGGGCCGTCTTGGAGCACCTGTGGGTCCCTCTTGGGGCTCTTTTGGACGATCGCAGAGCCATCTTGATGCCTCCGAGGCCCCTGGGAAGCGAAATGGCGCATGCTGGACGCCGTGATTGACGCCATCTTGGGCTGCCTGAGGCCACCTTGGAGCCATCCGGGGCAATCTTGGACGCTCTGACGCCTCGCGGCCCTCTCCGTCCAGACCGAGGGGAGCTCTTCCTGAACGAGGTGGGCGCGCCCCATCCAGTCCCCTCGCGGCGACAGCGCGGGCGTGGCATGAACCCAGGACGCCCCCACGGGGCCTCCCAAGATGGCCCATGGCGACCACCATGGCCCATTTTGTCGGCACGAGGCCTTCCGACAGCTCGTCGCAGGGAGGGATGCTTTCACAGGCGGCGACGGGCGGGCACCAGGCGAACACCCAGCCAGCCAGGCGAACACGGGCGGGCAGCAGGCGAACTCCAGGGAACCCAGCCAGCGGACGTGTCTGGGCTCAAGAGACTGGGGTCAGTGCAAACGGGGTCCGTCAGAGCGCAGGGCCTTGCAGGATCCTGCAGGGCCAGGGCTGCACTGACCCGGGTTTGGGCGCAGGATCCTGCAGGATCCTGAAGGGTTCCCGTAGGGGATCGCTTACAGAATTGGTTTGCCCCAACACTTGATTGCAGCGCCGAATCCAGACACAGAATTACGTAAAACATGCTCCGTAGATCTACGGAGCACTCCACGTGTGTGTCGTAGATTCGACGGGCACATCAATTTTGGGGTCAACGGGTTCTGCAGTCGATCCCCTACTCGAGGGATCCTGCGAGGCCCGTCCGAGGGTCTGGCCATGACCGCGGTCGGTAGGTCCCCGAGACGTGGCGGAGACGAGGCGGCGACGGGCGGCCACCCGGCGAAAGCCCCGAAGCGGCAGCCAGCGGGCGCCAGCGCGCGAAGCGCGAGGCGTCGGCGAGGCTGCGGCGTGCGGCCACCAGGGGGCACCAGCCGATCATGGCTGGCGCGTCGCGTACAGTGGACAACATCATGCCAGGAATCACCCTGCTAGCCTCCAGGGTGCCCTGGGTTTCGCGGGCTTCGATGGTTCTGCGATGGACAGCGTGAAGTTCCCACACCAAAATTCGATGGGCGTCCTGGGGTCTCAGGCTTGGATTTCTTGTGGAAGGTTTCTTGTGGTCGAGCTCCTACTGCATCCTGTATCCTCACCAGCCCATCCAGAAACGATGTCCAGGCGAATTTCCCAGGGGGGTAGCCGTCAGATCGAAGCGCAGGATCAGCTGGAGCAGACGTAGGAGTTAGCCAGAGCTGCACTCGCGGATCGTTCGACAGGGGAGCCTCTCGGAAGCCTATCTGGGAGCCCTCTTGGGTTACTCTTGGTGTCCCCTTGGGGCTACTTTGGAGGCCTTTAGGGTTCTCTTCCTGTCCTATTAGGGCTCCCTCGGGGCCCTTTTGATACCCTCTTGGGGGCCTTTGGGGCTTTCTTGGAGCCGTCTTGGAAGAGATCGATCAAAGATGGGGGGTGCTGAATTACTCCCCTCCTTCGGGGCCCGAAGCTTTGCCTTTTCGGGCCCTCTTGGGAGGCTCTTGGGGCGCTCTTGGGGGCCTTTGGGGCCGTCTTGGAGCTCCTGTGGGTTGGGTTTTTTTTGGGGGGGGCGATGTTAGAGCCATCTCGATGTCTCAGAGGCCCGTCGGAAGCGAAATGGCGAGAAGGCCACACACGTTGGGCATCCTTTGGTTTTTGAATGAGTTTGGCCTTTACGAACACATATCCTTGGGAGGCTCTGCAGGGCCACTTGGAGCCGTCTTGGAGCCGTCTTGGGGGTTCTTGGAGCCAGGTTGGACACCAACTTGTGCCATCTTTGAAGCCATCTTTACTATGTGAGACCACCTTGGAGCCATCTTGGGCGATCTTGGACGCTCTAATGCCTCGCGGCCCTCTCCGTCCAAAGCCAGGGAAATTATTCCTGTCACGCGGCAGTTTTTCTCTAATAGGTTGGGCGGACCCCTCCAGTCCACGCGCGGCGACAGCACAGGCTCGGGATGAACCTAAGACGCCCCCACGAGGCCTCCAAGATGGCCCAAGGCAACCACCATAATTAGTCCATTTTGGCACAAGGCATTCTGGCCATTCTTTGTTGCAGACAGGGATGATTCACGCCGGCAGCGGCTTCGGTAGCGGCGGCGTGGGCATGGGTTACGGCGGCGCGTACGGCGGCGACAGTTGCTGCGGCGGTGGCGCGGGTTACGGTGGTGCGTACGGCGGCGACGCGGGATGCTGCGGCGGCTCGGCGGGCTACGGGTACGGCGGCGCCTCTGGCTTCGGTCTCGCGGGCGGCATGCCGCCACAAACTCAGACCTACATGGGGCCTGGTGGAGATTACGTGCAGGAGACGACGTACAAGTACATTGGCATGGGGGCGGGCGGCCCGCAAGCAGTCTCGGAGACGGTCATCTCGAGTGTACTGCCCCTGCCTCGCCGTGGCCCCCACTGCTTGTGCCTTTGCCTGATCCCCTTGCTACTGTCGCTTCTGTTACTCCCGCTGCTGGGCTGGTTCCTAATGGGCTCAACCAGCACTACGACGACCACCACGATTCTCATCACAACTCCACCACCACCGCTGTTGGCAGCGCCGCCGACGCCTCCGCCTGATGCTCCGACCACGACCAAGAAAACCACCACCGCGGCTCCGCCGCCGCCCCCGCCACCGCCGCCTCCGCCTCCGCCGCCCCCACCGCCACCGCCGCCCCCGCCGCCGGAGCCGGTGACGACCACGGAGAAGAAGGTGGACTGCGCGGAAGGTGATCCGCCGTCTTGGGACGTATCCAAGAAGGTCACGTGCTGCTTGCAGGCTGGCAGGGGGTGCCCTACGACGCCTCCGCCGCCGCCCCCGCCGCCGCCGCCGCCGCCGCCGCCCCCTCCGCCAGCCCCAGTGGCGCCGCCCCCGCCGCCACCCGCGCCTGTGGCGCCGCCTCCGCCACCGCCAGCTCCTGTGGCCCCGCCTCCGCCAGCCACGACGTCTGAGCCGTACGATTGCGCGGCCGGGTATTCGAATTGGGAAGCGGGGTGGTCTACGGACAAGAAAGGCTGGTGCTGTTCCAATAAGCACATGGGCTGCGTCGAGACGACGCCGCCGCCGGCCCCGCCTTCCGAACCGTATGACTGCAACGCTGGGTATTCGAATTGGGAGGCCGGCTGGTCGCCGGACAAGAAGGAGTGGTGTTGCTCAGAGAAGAAGATGGGTTGCGTCGAGGCCGCATCTAAGCCTTATGACTGTGACGCAGGTTATTCCAACTGGGAGGCTGGCTGGAGCGAGGATAAGAAAAGCTGGTGTTGCACCAACGAGCAGAAAGGCTGCCCGAAGTGAGTTTGAAGAGGTAGCAGGTTCTCCATGCAGTGCCGTGCTCGGACCATGCGCAGCCCAAGTGTAGGATACGGGGAGTCTATTCGGGCGTGGTAAGGTCTTCTGGCGGCCAGCACGCTGCGCAACCACTTTCTTCATGCGCTCGGGATCTGAGCAGAGACTCTTGCTCGAGGCATGGTTATCCCACTGCTCCTCTCGACAGGCAAAGGTACTGCGGGATGTGAGCATGAGAATTATTTTACCCCATCTGATCCGCATCGACACTTACCTCCGAGACGTGATGGTAATCGCGGGTGCGTGGCCCAAGGCAATGTGACAGGTCGAGACGAGACAGCACGAGACAAGACTTGACAAGACAAGCCAATGCAGCTTCCCAGTCGGCCCCAGGCGGCTCCAGGATACCCTGAGACGCCCCCAGCCCCCGAGAGGCCCACATCGGTCAATCACCTCCAGAGAACCAACGATAGTTGCCTTCACGATGTTTCGTTCCCAATGGGCCCTTGAGGCCTCAAGAGGGCCCCAAGATTGCACAAGAAAAAGACAGCTCCGAGACGGGCCCGAGGCGACCAGGCACCCAAGAGGGGCCCGAGGAGTTTCCCAAGAAGGCCCCAAAACGTTCCCAATTCTGTCCAAATGCTGAAGGGGCCAACCAGGGCAAGTGTCACTGGCGCCCAACGAGCCCCAGAACGGCCGCTTTGTGTCCCACGGGGCTCGCAACATACCCCCCAGAAGAACTCTCTAACAAGCCTTCCAGAGGTCGAGGGTTGGGGAGAGGAGATGGCCCAAGGCAACCATGCAAGACGTGGCACGACATGACCGGACAAGTCCTGACACGTCAAGCCAACATAGCCTCCATGGCTCCAAGGCGCCCCCAAGACGCCCCGAGTCCCAAGAGGCTCAAGTCATTCAAACATGGTGAGCAAATCAGCGATGTTCGCCTTCACGCCGTTTCGCTTCCTATGGGCGCTTGAGGCCTCAGGATGGCCCCAAGATCGCCCAAGGAAGTCCGCAGACGGGTCCGAGACGGCCAAGCCTCCAAGGGGGCCCGAAGGGACTCCCAGGAGGGCCCCAAGACGCCACCAAGTCAGTTAAACTCTTTAGAAGAAGACCAGCAAGGGCAAGCGCCAATGGCGCTTCCCCAGAGGCTTTCAACATACTCCCAAGAGATCTACCAGAAGCCTTCCAGAGGTTTCAAGAAGCCCCCTGAGGCGCCTTGGAGAGGCCCCCAGGAGGGCTCCAGGAGGCTTCGCTGGGCGGGGGGGGGAGTCGTCTGGCGCAGAGGGGAAGATGGGAGATTGGAAGCGGGGCCCTGGACACCAGGCCTTTGCAAACCAGCACTTTGCCAGAGCCAGTGGGAGGAGACAAAGGACGAGGAATGCCTCGACCCATGGCTGTGCTTTTCTTGGGCGTGCCAGAGCTTTCATCAGAGTTTTTTATGGGGCCCTGATGGAAGAGGAAGCCTACTAGATTACTTAGGCCCGCAGGGTTGGTGGGATTCGGAGCCACGCGGCGTTCAAGGAATGGCGGCTCGAGGCCGTCTGGGCGCTCGGTGGGGTTTCGGCGTCCAGCGCCTCAGAGCGCCTGGGAAGTGTGTTGATTTCAGCGTCGGAGGCAGGGGCGGGCAAGCGACGGGCGCCGGCCAGCCGAAGCCCCTGCAAACCCAGCGCGCGAGGTGGCGACGAGGCGGCGACGGGCGGGCACCAAGCTCAGAAGCGCCAGCCAGCGAACGAGGTGGTGACGAGGCTGAGACGGGCGGCCCGCAGGGCTGCTGGGGTCTTTTTGTTGCCCCTCTCGCCTCTTGGGGCCGCTCTGGAAGGAGGTCGATGAAAGCTGGGGGGGGTCCCAGATGACCCCCCCTTTCGGAGCCCGAAGCATAGCCCTGTGGGGCCCTCTTGGGAGGCTCTTGGGGCGCTCTTGGGGGCCTTCGGGGCCGTCTTGGAGCACCTGTGGGTCCCTCTTGGGGCTCTTTTGGACGATCGCAGAGCCATCTTGATGCTTCCGAGGCCCCTGGGAAGCGAAATGGCGCATGCTGGACGCCGTGATTGACGCCATCCTGGGCTGCCTGAGGCCATCTGGGAGCCATCCGGGGCAATCTTGGACGCTCTGACGCCTCGCGGCCCTCTCCGTCCAGACCCAGGGGAGCTCTTCCTGAACGAGGCGGGCGCGCCCCATCCAGTCCCCTCGCGGCGACAGCGCGGGCGTGGCATGAACCCAGGACGCCCCCACGGGGCCTCCCAAGATGGCCCATGGCGACCACCATGGCCCACCTTGTCGGCACGAGGCCTTCCGGCCGACAGCTTGTCGCAGGGAGGGATGCTTTCACAGGCGCGAGCGCGGCGAAGCCTTGGCGCACCCATGCAGAGAGCACGGGGCGCCCACGAGCACGGGGCTTTCGCATGCGCGAGCGCGGCGAGTGCGCGGGACGCCACGCCCACTGACCCGGCAAGCGGAGTGAGAACTCCTAAGTGCAAACCGTAAGTCGGGCCTGTCCCTCTACAGGAGGGATATTCAAGGATAGTCAAAAACATGATATGGGGACGATTCGTCGATTCTGCTTCTGTATGTTTGAATACTTTTTCGGACTATCTCTAGGTTTCCCTTCAAGATCCCCCTGCAGGAGAAGGACGCGCCCGACCTGATGCAAGCCTTGAGCTTGGGGAAAGAAGCAGACCCCGCGGGGAGGGGGACGGCTCCCAGCCTCGGGGTGGGGGTCGAGTTGCGTGGCTTCTTGTGGGACGCGGGACTCACTGGCCCGCACCGCGCGTGGCCAGCCCAGTGCGCGTCGTCGATCTCATGCAGATCCATCAAGCCGCAATGCGCGGAGGGGGGCGGATCGGTTTGGCCTCGGCAGGGGGGTGGCTTCTCATGCCTTCTTGTAAAAAGGAGCTCGTGTGGTGCAAGCTAGTCTTTGTATGCTGTGGAGCGCAGTATACGTCGTGCAACTTGACGGGTGCCACCTCTGATGTACGCGCTGTGTGCTGCAAGCTGTGGAGGACCGTCCACGGCGTCAGTGCAGTACATGTGTAGTGCAGGCAGTGTCGTGCAACCAATGGCGAGGCGGAGGCGAGGAAGCGACGGGCGGGCACCTTGCGAACACCCGGGAAACCCAGCCAGCGGACGTGTCTGCGCTCAAGAGACGGGGGTCAATGCAAACGGGGGTCCGTCAGAGCGCCGGGCCTTGCAGGATCCTGCAGGGCCAGGGCTGCACTGACCCGGGTTTGGGCGCAGGATCCTGCAGGATCCTGAAGGGTTCCCGTAGGGGATCGCTTACAGAATTGGTTTGCCCCAACACTTGATTGCAGCGCCGAATCCAGACACAGAATTACGTAAAATATGCTCCGTAGATCTACGGAGCACTCCACGTGTGTGTCGTAGATTCAACCGGTTCGACTACAGAATTGGTTTGCCCCAGCAACTGCTTGCAGCGCCAAATCCAGGACACAGAATTACGTAGAATATACTCCGTAGATCTATGGAGCACTCCACGTGTGTGTCGTAGAGTCGACGGGCACATCAAGTTTGGGGTCAACCGGTTCTGCAGTCGATCCCCTACTCGAAGGATCCTGCGAGGCCCGACCGAGGGTCTGGACATGACCCGGGTCGGTAGGTCCCCGAGACGTGGCGGAGACGAGGCGGCGACGGGCGGCCGCCCGGCGAAAGTCCCGAAGCGGCAGCCAGCGGGCGCCAGCGCGCGAGGCGCGAGGCGTCGGCGAGGCTGCGGCGTGCGGCCACCAGGGGGCACCAGCCGATCATGCCAGGCGCGTCGCGTACAGTGGGCAAAATCATGCCAGGAATCACCCTGCTTGCCTCCAGGGTGCCCTGGGTTTCGCGGGCTTCGATGGTTCTGCGATGGACAGCGTGACGTTCCCACACCAACATTCGATGGGCGTCCTGGGGTCTCAGGCTTGGATTTCTTGTGGAAGGTTTCTTGTGGTCGAGCTCCTTCTGCATCCTGTATCCTCACCAGCCCATCCAGAAACGATGCCCAGGCGAATTTCCCAGGGGGGTAGCCGTCAGATCGAAGCGCAGGATCAGCTGGAGCAGACGTAGGAGTTAGCCAGAGCTGCACTCGCGGATCGTTCGACAGGGGAGCCTCTCGGAAGCCTATCTGGGAGCCCTCTTGGGGTTACTCTTGGTGTCCTCTTGGGGCTACTTTGGAGGCCTTTAGGGTTCTCTTGCTGTCCTATTAGGGCTCCCTCGGGGCCCTTTTGATACCTTCTTGGGGGCCTTTGGGGCTTTCTTGGAGCCGTCTTGGAAGAGATCGATCAAAGATGGGGGGTTCTGAATTACTCCCCTCCTTCGGGGCCCGAAGCTTTGCCTTTTCGGGCCCTCTTGGGAGGCTCTTGGGGCGCTCTTGGGGGCCTTTGGGGCCGTCTTGGAGCTCCTGTGGGTTGGTTTTTTTTGGGGGGGGCGATGTTAGAGCCATCTCGATGTCTCAGAGGCCCGTCGGAAGCGAAATGGCGAGAAGGCCACACACGTTGGGCATCCTTTGGTTTTTGAATGAGTTTGGCCTTTACGAACACATATCCTTGGGAGGCTCTGCAGGGCCACTTGGAGCCGTCTTGGAGCCGTCTTGGGGGTTCTTGGAGCCAGGTTGGACACCAACTTGTGCCATCTTTGAAGCCATCTTGACTATCTGAGACACCTTGGAGCCATCTTGGGCGATCTTGGACGCTCTAACGCCTCGCGGCCCTCTCCGTCCAAAGCCAGGGGAGTTATTCCTGTCACGCGGCAGTTTTTCTCTAATAGGTTGGGCACCCCTCCAGTCCACGCGCGGCGACAGCACAGGCTCGGGATGAACCTAAGACGCCCCCACGAGGCCTCCAAGATGGCCCAAGGCAACCACCATAATTAGCCCATTTTGGCACAAGGCATTCTGGCCATTCTTTGTTGCAGACAGGGATGATTCACGCCGGCAGCGGCTTCGGTAGCGGCGGCGTGGGCATGGGTTACGGCGGCGCGTACGGCGGCGACAGTTGCTGCGGCGGTGGCGCGGGTTACGGTGGTGCGTACGGCGGCGACGCGGGATGCTGCGGCGGCTCGGCGGGCTACGGGTACGGCGGCGCCTCTGGCTTCGGTCTCGCGGGCGGCATGCCGCCACAAACTCAGACCTACATGGGGCCTGGTGGAGATTACGTGCAGGAGACGACGTACAAGTACATTGGCATGGGGGCGGGCGGCCCGCAAGCAGTCTCGGAGACGGTCATCTCGAGTGTACTGCCCCTGCCTCGCCGTGGCCCCCACTGCTTGTGCCTTTGCCTGATCCCCTTGCTACTGTCGCTTCTGTTACTCCCGCTGCTGGGCTGGTTCCTAACGGGCTCAACCAGCACCGACGACCACCACATTC